GCCCCACCCTCTCTCACCTGTGTCTGCTCCAGGTGTGTCTTGTTGCCCTAATTAGTTTGCCTTTATATTGTGTGTCCTGTCTTCAGTGTTTGTCCGATCATTGTGCTGCTTCCCTCAGCCAGTGAGGTGTCTGCTCGTGTTCATGTTCCTTGTGCCTTTCTCTAGTGTCTCTGTAAGTTTTTGCTGACATATCAGCCGTCCTTTTGTTTCATTAAAATACTTGTTTTGAACTTTGGGTCTTGCCTGCGCCCTGGGTCATTCTACACTAAACCTCACATTTTTATAACCTAGACGTTTCATTTGTGTCTTGTAGCTTGGTTGGTCTATTGGACCCGAGCACTTGATCAAACATCTTCAGACTGTCATGCTGAATACTCTGTACTCCTGCCCAACACCTTTACAGGTATGTCTCTTTAAAAGGAATTGAGTGAAAGGTAAGCATGTTTGTTTATTATTGTTGTATTAGCAAAGTGTTTGGATTTTTATGAAACTTATAGTTATAATTAGTGATGTCCTGATATCGTTACTTATGCCAACACCCACGTTGGTACTGGGACAATGGTATCAATAAATGTGTTACAGTTTACATTTTAAAGGGAGATGTTATGCAAAATCAACTTTTCTAGGCTTTATATCTTGTTATCATGTCGTTTTCTCATCAAACACATCCAGAGTGTTGCTTTGACTCGTTCATTCAAGTGTTGCTGTGTTTAACTTCAGGAAGCGGTGGCCCAAGGTTTACTGCTGAACTCTGAGCTGATGGGCCAGCCCGAGTGTTACTTCACCTCACTGGCTGAAGAACTTGAGGGAAAGCGAGACCGCCTGGCCTCCATCCTGCAGGAGGTCGGCATGACTCCCGTCGTTCCAGAGGGAGGTTACTTCATGCTGGTGGATGTTACGTCTCTCAGTGAGTCGTGCTGATGTCAAGTTTTCTATTTCTTTAGTCTGTTTATTCTTTACACCAAGCTGCTCCAATTTTAGAAGCACTTTGTAACCATGMGATAATTAGTTAAAAAGTTAATTCTGTTTTTTTAAATACTGCAATTAAAATTATTTACTTTTCCATCAGGAGGAATGATCAGTTTTGAGTTATAAATGGAGTATGTGTGTTTATTGTGCTTTTCCTTTAATTTTAAAGTGAATTGTTGACAGTTGTTTGAATATTTTTATGGATTTCTTTGTAGCTGTTTTTGTGGCTCATAAAATGTTTTTAATTAGAAACCAGAAAAAAAGTTGATAAAAATTGATGGAAGAATTTAATAAAAGTCTTTCAGTTGAAAAAAAAATCATTGGTAAAGATACATTTTAAAAGGTTACTTTCATACCCATGTATGAATATTTTGATATAAGACATCTAAAAAATGGTAAATGAATTMATTTTTTCAGGAAAATATTGAAAACAAGTTGGTCCTTGATTAGGCTTAATATTTGATACTTTGCTTAAGTTTGGCAACTTGTGTAAATGAGTTTGTGGAAATATACATCCCGTGGTCATAGATAAGATGTCARTCTGTTTAGGAAGGGTCAAATCATGCATCAAGCAGAGAAAACRTCTAAGGAGWTTGYAGAAACTAMWAAAACTGGGTTAAGAACTGTCCAACACATTATTAAAAACTGAAGGATAGTGGGGACCCATCATCTTCGATGAAGAWATGTGGCCAGAAAAAAACCCTGAATGATCGTGATCGGTGACGTTTGGTGAAATCAAATCAAAGAAAAACAACAGTAGAACTCCGGGCTATGTTTATTAGTGAAAGTAAGAGTATTTCCACATGCACAACGTGAAAGGAACTCAAGGGATTAGGACTGAACAGCTGTGTAGCCTTAAGAAAACCACTAATCAGTGAGGCCAACTGGAAAAAAAAAGATTTCAGTTTGCTAGGGAGCATAAAGATTGGACTCTGGAGCAATGGAAGAAGGTCATGTGGTCTGATGAGTCCAGACTGACCCTGTTCCAGAGTGATGGGCTCATCAGGATAAGAAGACAGGCAGGGGAAGTGATGCACCCATCATGCCTAGTGCCTACTGTGCAACCTGTGGGGGCAGGCCTATGATGTGGGGTTTCTGCAGTTGGTCAGGTCTAGGTTCAACAACAGTCTGAGGTCAAAGAATGAGGTCAGCTGACCTGAATATACTGAATGACCAGGTTATTCCATCAATGGGTTGTTTCTTCCCTGAAGGCACAGGCATCATCCAAGATGACAATGCCAGGATTCATGGGGCTCTTATTGTGAAAGAGTGGTTCAGGGAGCATGAGACATCATTTTCACACATGGATTGACTCCACAGAGTCCAGTGAGAATCTTTGGGATGTGCTGGAGAAGATCAGACTCTACCATCGTCAATGCAAGATGTTGGTGAAAAATTAATGCAGCACTGGATGGAAATAAATCTTGTGACATTACAGAAGCTTATTGAAACAATGCCATATTGAATGTGTGCCATAATCAAAGTTTCATTAAAATCCCT